CAGAGCGGGCCCCGGCCTGCGGCGGCCGCCGAGGAGCCGTGGGCATGATGACTCTGCACCAGCTCCTCGGTGACGGTCCTGCCCCGGGACTGGTCCCGGCCGGCCGCCGTCGGGCTTCCGTGCGCGGAGCGGTGGGGCGCGGGGCCCGGTGGGCAGGACGGGGGAGTCGGAGCCTCGGGCTCTGGGAGAGTCCGTACGTGAAAGTTAGCCTGCTGGGCCGAGGTGCGGGTGAACTCGCGTCCGGCGGTTGTCCGGCGTCAGGCGTGGGGACGCGCGGTCAGAACCGCCGGCGGCCCTCCTCTCTTTGCCCTCCCGGGTCTCTGCCCAGGGCGAGCCCTACCTTTCACCCGTCTGTTGCAGTAGTCTCGTAACTGGTTACCCTGCCCCGGTCCTCGCCATCCGGAGTGCGCCCTCTAAAATAGCCGTCAGCTCCTGTGGCTCTTTGGCCCAGCATCATTCGGTAGAGCCCCATTACTTAAGAGGTAAAATTCACGGTTTTTACCTGGGCACGCAGGCTCTTCAGGTCCTGATCCCTGCTTCTTTCCGTTCTTAATAACCGATATTCCACTGTTGGGGAAGATTGGTTCTGGAGTCCAAAGTTTGACTTTTCCACTAAATCATGCTGAGCCCCAGTATTGTCTTTTGTAGGAATAGTAATAATGCCAAAGATTACCGCCCTTCCCCTCCCCTTTATAGATCACGATCCCGTATCATTCTCTGGAGATAGCCTGAGCCTCGTAACTTGGCATTCAAAGCTCTGCATGACCTGGATACTTGCTTAGTTCTCTGGTTTGTTCATATTCCATTTTTTTAAGTTTCAGCAATTCGTCTTCTCTATTCATTGACCTACCCTTTGCTCAAGCTTTCTCCTCTGCCTGGAATGCCCTTCCCTTCTCCTACCCCCTTTCTTCCTGAGACCTGAAGGTTCTCAGCCTTATTTCTGCCTCTCCCATCTGTAATTTGGGCTCATTTTCTGTATTTGTTTCACCAAAAAAAGTACTTTCTTGATTTTCTCCATCCCTGGTCCCCCTCTACCTTTAATGCCTCTATTCCCGCATTGCTTTCTGTTTGTCTAGTCTGTCTGCCTCCTTCACCTGGCTACCTGAAGACTGTAAGCTCTTCAGGAAGGGGATTGGTCTTACCTATCCGGGTGTTCCAGCATCTAGCATAGTGCCTGGTGCAGGGTAAAGGTTACAGAGTAAATGTTAGCTGAACGAAGGGAGTGAACAAAACATATTTTTGGTGGGGGTGGGGGAGTAATCAGGAAATGCTTTTTAAATTGTTAAACTGTAAATTTTATTTTAATAGTGATTCTGTTTTCTTGTTACAGGAATTATATAAAGTTCAGAAACCATGGTGAGTTAATACACATGCCAGTAAGCTGTTGCCTGATAAATGGTATTGCTTGTACTTAGCTTACAGACTTGCATGAGAAAACTGAAGTGGAAGGAAAAAGAGATGGATGGTGTCTTCTTCCTTATCAGTTTCCTCTCACGCTCACTGTTGTGTACCAGGATATGCTCTTTGTGATGATTTGTGGGCTTGCAGGAGTTGGCTTACTTTGAGTGGGTAGAAATCATTTGTATGTTTTCCCTTTGCAGTCTCGAAGATATGACTCCAGGACCACTATATTTTCCCCAGAAGGTAAAACAGAAATTGTTAAATCTGTCTCAAATTTAAAAAAAAAATTATCTTTAAGTGCTTGAATTTTAGGAGGGAAAAACCTACATACTTTTTTTTAAAATACTAAGTTGTTCATCCTTTTTGTACTTTAAAGTAATTATGGTCACCAGGTTGATTACGTGTATCTTAAGAGTAAAAGTGGGCCTCTTGTTTATAGCCTGCCAGCGTTGTTGCTGACTTCTCTTGGACCAGTGGTTCAGGAACAAGGCGGAGAGGCATGCTTTCTCACCGCTTGTGTTTTGTAGGTCGCTTGTACCAAGTTGAATATGCCATGGAAGCTATTGGACATGCAGGCACCTGTTTGGGAATTTTAGCCAACGACGGCGTTTTGCTCGCAGCAGAGAGACGCAACATCCACAAGCTTCTTGATGAAGTCTTTTTTTCTGAAAAAATTTATAAACTGAATGAGTAAGTGAAATAAGTGAAATTTTAGGGAAGAGAGTTTAAATAATCTCACTTTCTCACAAAAGTGGGATCTCATGTATTTTGGGAGGGCCATTTCTCTCTCAAATGTGACACGGTAGAATTGAACAGTTTGTTATGTTTTTACTTCTGAAAATTTTTGCTTTTAATTTATTTTGATTGAAACCTCCATGAAGCCCAGGACCATGGGTTTATTCATTTTTAAGTTCAGGGCTAAATACTTCTTGGAGAAACAGCATTGTGCAGTGATAAGAGTTCAGGTTAAATCTAGGGCCCGCCAGTACAAGCTGTGTGACTTCAGACCAACTGTTTAACTTCCCTGGGCCTCAGAGCCTTCTAGGGTGGTTGTGGTAGTTTAATGAAATACAATAAAATAAATGAAATAAACTAGCGTAGCGTCTGGCATATAGCAGGCCCTGAAGGTATTGTTTAGAATGGTTACTCAGGAATTTTATTGAATTATACTGAATCTTACCAAAGAACAGGTCTCCTGCAGATCTGGGAACAGTTTAGTTGAGCCCTGTACACTTAGTGAAGTTTCTGTTTATAGTTGGATGTGCAGGGCTTTGCAGCCACCAGAGAGCTGGGTTTGCCAATTGGAGACTTTCCCTTCTCTGGTGGGCCAGGTGAATGCTGGTCATAAGGCCCTTTTGATACACTCATCCAGAGAGGGGTCATCCCTTCAGAGTCACTGTTGGGCCCTCTCAGCAGCTTGCAGGCTTGACTAGGTACAGTGCCAGAGGGTGTCTAGGCTGTAGGAGAGCCAGGGCAGCCTTCAGGGAACAGGGAGCAAAGAAAGAAATTGCATCCCTCATGTGAGCCTAGCCCTGGACTTCCTAGGCAGCCTTATAAAATATCTTGCCCTTGGGTCCCCTCACAGTCACCCTCATCAAGCCAGGCTTTAGGAGGTGAGAGTACTTACTGCCCAAGAGTGTGGAGTAATCCATCTTCCTGTCTAGCAAAACCTTTTTCTTTGTAGTTGAATCTTCTCAGGATTTACTTTAGCTTCCTAGTGTTTATTGTCTTGCCCTGTTCACAGGGTGATGATAAATGCATCTCTTGTAAAGAACTTAAGGGTGCATTTGTTTATGTTTCATGCTGAATGACATCAAGCTGAAAGTCTGTGAAGATAAAACTTCCGTAGTTTTTGTCTGAAGGGCGTAGCAGCTGTGAAGCAAATATGGTGAATTTCTAATAGAACTTGGTACTTTTGAAAACTTGTAAATACCCGGGAAACGTCTTCTCTGCTTACAGACCAATGTATTGTAGGCAAACTAACTGATGTCTGTCTTCTCCTCAAGGGATATGGCCTGCAGTGTGGCCGGCATAACTTCTGATGCTAACGTTCTGACTAATGAACTGAGGCTCATTGCTCAAAGGTATGTTCATAAATAGTGTAATTGATGACACATAAATTAGTTTCGATCTTTCTAAGAACTCATTTTTGCAAAGATTAAAGTCATTAAAAACCTATTAATTGAAAATTAATTTTTTTTTCTTTAACCAAACTTGTAAAATATTACTGTAAGGGTAAGACGTTGCCATGCCTTCCCCTCTCCCCCTTCAGATTACAAGTGACTATTATGTTGTCCCCGTGGCATTGATTTCTTTTCAGAGAGTATTTTGCGTACAGTGTAGATGCAGTGTTTCAGAGAAAACTATTAATATTCCAGTTTCTTTATCCTAGGTATTTATTGCAATATCAGGAGCCCATTCCTTGTGAGCAGTTGGTCACAGCACTGTGTGATATCAAACAAGCTTATACACAGTTTGGAGGTACTGAATCCTTTGGAAATTTTATTACAAAAAGTTGAAACATTTTATGAGTAATAACCTTTTTGAGGCAGTAAAAAAGAGAATGAAAATGAAATAAGTAGACACTTTTCATCCATTCCTGCCTCATGAACTAACTGGGTTCCACTGTGTAGACTGTTAAGTGTTTTATTAATAGACTATTGAAAGACCAAAATAACATTCTCAAATCTGGAAACGAATTGATTTTTACATAATAATGAAATTCAGCACTGGTCCTCTGTGTCTTTATTCCCTTTCCTGGCTGCGTCCAGATCCTAGAAACAAAAGTGAAATTTTTGATGGAGCTTATCTGTGGTGTCCAGAACACGAAGCAGTTTATGAACACTTAACTTCACAGAAAAGGGGTTAGCCACAGTCAGTGAGCTCAAGTAACCATGGTGATAACTAAATTCAGAGTGTTGATGTGTTTGGCTTTTTCCCCCCCCCCGTTAAAGGCAAACGTCCCTTCGGTGTTTCATTGCTTTACATTGGCTGGGATAAGCACTATGGCTTTCAGCTCTATCAGAGTGACCCTAGCGGAAATTACGGGGGATGGAAAGCCACGTGCATTGGAAATAACAGCGCTGTGAGTATGTTTGTGTTGCTATAAAATCTAGCAAAAGGCTTAATAACTGCCGTAACTTTGAAGTAGCGATGAGCGTAAACAGTATTTAAGGTAGCTGCAGCAATCTTAACGTGACTAAAATGTCTGTGGTTTCCGTTGGTGATGAAGTCGCAGGTACAGCTGATACTGCTTGGGCTTATTGCCTCTAATTATAATGAAAGGAAATGCTGACTTTCAATTAGAAGCTGTGAAAATAAGATGTAGTTTTTTTTCACGTGCTAGTTCACAGACCCCCCCTGAATGTTATCACGGATCCCTGGGATCCATTCATAGAGCATCAGCAGCCCCCTTCACATCCCTATCCCGTGTCTCCCCTCCCTGCCATCAAAATTGATTATATTGGTTATAATACCAACAATAATTTAGGCATATTCTCATCAATCCATGTTTATAAAAAATGCAAAAATTGAGAGGAAATTCTCCATGTTGATTCTTCTTTATGTTTTATAGGCAGCTGTGTCAATGTTAAAACAAGACTACAAAGAGGGAGAAATGACTCTGAAGTCAGCACTTGCTTTAGCTATTAAAGTTCTAAATAAGACCATGGATGTTAGCAAACTCTCTGCTGAAAAAGGTACGTCCACTCCTCGAATCTGTTTGCTTAGTGAGGGAATTGACTGAGTGGCTACATGTTAGGCCGTTAACATGTTACCATAGTTCACTGAAACAGCAGCCTTATAAGTTAGGTGGTCTCAGCGACTTCCTAAGACTTGACCAGGGTCACCATTGATAAGTTGTGGAGCCACAATCCTGCACTGCACTCCAAGCTTAAGGCCTTGAGTCTGATTGATCTCAATGTTCAGAGTAAAATCTGAGCCGTGCTACTTGGAGGTAATGGTCATCTACTTCTTGACAATGATGTCTGTGCTCATGTGTGCATTCAGTAAAGAATGTGGAAGTGGTTAGACCTTTATGTGTATATGTCGGTGTCCTTTAGCAGAGCTGTAACACTGGCGTGGGTTGTGGTTCCCTCTGTTCTTCTGAATCTACTGGTCTCCTTTGTTAAGCCCATGTTTGCAATTTTAAATGCTTTATTTAGCTAATGTTTACATGATCATTTATTTATAAATGTTTTACAAAAATTGTGGTAACTTAATGTGTTGGTTTTGTTTAGGATAACTTAGCTCCACATGTTCCTTAAAAAAATGCCATTTACTTGTAGATTGCCCTCTTGTCTACTTCTCCGTGATTGCAAGGAGGCACCTCTCAATTTCCCCTACTCAAAAAATTCCTTCTCCTTCTGGTATCAGTCTTCTTTTCTCATCCATAGTCATGGGAGCTGCTTCTCATGTCTTTGTTTTGAAAAGTCCTTGAAAAATAAGTGTTCGTACTAGTTAAAGATTCTGGCTGAGAGTTCGGAGGTCCCAACAAGGAAATTGTGGTTCCTTCTTGTCAGGCCAGCTAGACTAATTGGCTGATTGCAGTTTTTCCCAGAAAGTGACAGAACAGCAGCTCAGGAGGTGAGGATGGATGAAGAGACAATGTTAAGGCAACAATGTTAATAAAAACATTGTGCGATTGAAGGACTTTTGTTCCCCTAAAAGTATCCATGAATCATACTCAGCATAAAACGTGGAAGAGTGGTGAACTCTGGCTCAGATGATGTGAAGAGATTAAACTGTGGTTGCCTGTTACCTGTGTTGGCAAAGTATGCTTGCCTGTGATACAGATGTGTGTTTGCTTCCAGTGGAAATTGCCACACTAACAAGAGAGAATGGAAAGACAGTCATCAGAGTTCTCAAGCAAAAGGAAGTGGAACAGTTGATCAAAAAACATGAGGAAGAAGAAGCTAAAGCTGAACGCGAGAAGAAGGAAAAAGAACAGAAAGAAAAGGATAAATAGAAGACAAAGTCAGAAAGAAAAAAAAAGAAGACAAAGTCAGGGATTTTATAACTCATTTGGGGCACCATTTCAGTGTAAAAGCTGTCCTCCTCTTCCCTGCTGAGAAAGCTTTGACTTTTTTTTAAACTTACCTAGTGGGAAAATAGGATGGTACCAACTGACTTGGGTCCTTATTATTTCTGTCCAGTTGAATATTGTAATGATGATTACTCTTTTTAGATGGACATCTTAATCACAACCTCCTTTTTTTTTTTGGAATAAAATTTGGAAAGAATGAAAATGGTGAAGGAAAAATTTCTCTAGCAGTAATTGTTGAAGGTTACATGGTTAATAGGGCTATGGTCTTTTCATGCTTTATGTATGCTGTGGCCACCCTTGCAGTTACTTTTAAATAAGATGTTAAAATTGGCAGAAGTGTAAACATCACAAAGAAAGATGGGAAACGTGCACTGAAGATTTTTATTCTGTTGTTACCCTACTGTCTTGGAGAACCTGGAGCCCAATTTGAGCAAAAACAGCTGCCCTTCTCCGAGGCCTCATCTGACATTACCCGATCTGAGGCCTGTCCAGTGAAATAAGAATCACACCCCTCTTCTAGGTTTGCTGGCCTTTGGTACTAATGGCTGTTCATACTGCATATTGTGTGTGCGTGCACATACACCCTTGCACAAATAAGTAGTTATGATAAAACATGAAAGGCGTAATTAGAACAGAAGCCCTGTGTATCCACTGCCCGTCTTCAGAAGTGAATTAATCAGTACTTTTGAAGCCCCCTTTCAGATCTCATTTCCCTCTACCCCTGAGAGAGATGACCACTGCCTTCAGTTCGTCATTCCTCTTAGCTACGGCTTTTAGGCTCTGGTTTTCCACCTTTCTTCTCCAGGTGGTCCTGGTAGGTCTATTAGTCAGAGAACCCCACTCCTGTCCCAGAGGTGAGTACATCCTTCAATCTGGCCAGACTATCTGTGTCCTTCTCCAGAGATGGGTTTGAGAATGAACATGTGGGCTGAGCCAAGCCAGACTTGATATGTGGGTGTGAGGAAAGAAAGCTGAGCACCCTGCAGCTAGGACAGGCTGCCCACAGTCACAGCCCAAACCACGCGGAATGCTGTGCAGCAGAAACTAAGAGCACAGAGGACAAGTAGAACCAGCAGGTGAGAATGTTCAGTTTGACTAAAGGAGCTCCACTGCTGAGTTTTGCTCAGAGTTCACTTAGGATGGAGGCCTCTCTGATAGAAGTGCTGTGGAGCAGTGCTGCTTGATTCTTGTTATTCGTGGTAGCTACCGTCACCATGAGCACTGAATTAGCAAATGCTGAGCCATTGCTCCTAGCGAAGTAACGGATCAGGTTTCTTTGAGCCTCCGGTCACACCACTTTCATAAATGGATCAATACATAACCTTGTTTTAAGTGTGCTTCTGTTTAAAGACATCTTACCTGGTGTACATTGGTAATAATATTGTCCTCATGACCCAGAGCACTATAACTCACCTGAATGAAGCTTATCTAATGCACGTGTTTTCTCCGTAAGGCACATCACTGCTCTTAGGAACACTGGCCAGCACGACGCCAAGGGGGCATTTTTAAAAGCAAAATCATCAACAAAAAGCACAAAAATCTGAAAAATGTAGCACAAAACAGACTGAAAGAAGAACACTTGTTTACAGTATAAGCTGAAATAATGCAGAGTGTCGCCTTGACTTCAGCTGGAAACGTGCACATCAGGCAATTCAAGGACTTTTGCGGTTCTGTGCCTGTTGGCAGTGACCACAAAAGCACTGCAAGTATTGACTTGGGGTTACGAGCAAATCTGCAAATGCAGAATCTGTAAATAGTGAGAATTGACTATGTATCTTAAAATGACCACCTTTCCATCTTTATATAGGGAAGTGGCAGTAGATGGAGAAGTGAACTGATAAATCCTGTTGGTTTTTTTCTTGATAGGAGGCAGGTAATTAGGTTTATTTATCCTTTTTTTTTTTAATGGAAGTTCTGGGGCTTGAACCCAGGACCTCATGCATGCTAAGCATGCACTCTACTACTGAGTTATATACCCTCCCCCATGTTGGTTTCACCTCCAGATTATATCCAGAATCCAACCACTTAACCACTGCAGGAACACTGGTGAACAGAAACTGACACATGTTAGGCAGCAAATAAATGTTAATGAATGAACAGTGGCTCTTGATAACACTGGAGTGAAATCCTAAAATACACCCCTTTTCCATCCAGGTCAGTGGAACTGGTGGGGTTTCCATACTCTGACCACCTCTTTAATGCTTCAAGTTACGACCACTTCAGGGACCGTAGTGTGTAAGAGAGCCTTGCATATTTTTCCACCATATTAGGAGCAAGTCTTCAGAACTTTATCCTCATGATGAACAGATTTCGACATACCCTTTTGTTGAAATAATTTCATTATGTTGGGGGAAAAGCAGGTGATGAGGGTGCAGCAGGGGCTACTCTACACCTGCGTCTTTCCTGCTCTAGGGCTGACTGCTAGCTTAGATTCTCACCCAGCCTCTTTTTCCTCTGCTCTGTGGCATATTTTTAGCCCTAGGTTTCAGAGCCCTCTGGTTTCTGATGATGCATCCTGAATGCACGCTTAGCAATCCTCATCTAAACGGGGGTGCTTCTCCAGCAACGGCAAGTATTTCATTCTCTCCCAGGGCAAGACTCGTGGTTTCCCCCAGGAGCATTACTGGTGCAGGTGCACCTTGATGGAAATAAATAGGAAACCAAAAAGCTAAACGTTTTCAATCTTGAGTCAAACTGCAAAATCAAAATCTTGATTTCATTATGGGGAGTTACATGTGTGGAAAAAAAATCATGTGTTCCTGCATATAATTTTACTGCTTGTGTTCTTAATCAGAAAATAAGCGAAACTGGAATTTCTACAGTCTAGCACTTTGAAAGCTCCATGAAAATATTTGTTTTAGCAATGCAAAAATATTCCACATTCTGAAAAATCAGAAAGTGGATTCATTTCTTTATTTCTTTATGTTTACCATGTTCCTGGTAATTTTAGGTGATGGGGATTTGTGGATGAGTAAGACATGTCCTCAGTCCTTAATGTGCAGTCTTGTAGGAAAAGCAGGGAGGGCTGTCATCATCTACTTAATAATATGGAGGACGTGCTAGACTCCAGGTGGCTGCATCCTGAGACTAGGGAGTAAAGGCAGAGGGAACTGCTTGTGTAAAGGCCTGGCAATGGGAGAGCTTCCCATTTTTATGGGAAGTCAGTAGCTGAGCAGAGCAACAGCAGAGCTTGTCGGGGGAAGAAGAGTAATGTCCAGAGATGAGGTTGGACATGTAAGCTAAGAAGAGAGGACAGCTTCACCAGTCTTGGAGTTTGTGCTCTATATGATGCAGAGGCCACTGAGATTTTTGAGTAAAGGAGAGAAACAATGACACTCTAACTCCTGGAGTCCAGAAGATGGATTAAGTGGGAAGCGATAAGGCAGGGAGAGCAGCTAGGAGGCTGCTGAAATAGTCAGGCAAGGGAAGATGAGGGTCTCAGACAGCGGTACAGGAAACAGGGGCTGAGGGGCCCACAGACTGAGGGATGAGGGAGAGGGAGTAAAGGATGACCAAGGTCTCTAACTCAGATAAGTAGTTACAGTCAGATTTAAAGACAGTAAATGAACATGATGAACTACTCTTTAAATTTCCTAACATCTCTTGTTACTGTTTTGGCCTGAAATCAAGTGGACACTAATATCCCTGGAGGGGAAAGAACTTGATAAACTTGCACATCACATAGTGAGTAAAACCATTTCAAACGCTTTTTGTTTTTCCTTTTTCTTCCAGATATTGTTCATTTGTATTCTTTTGTGCACTGTCCATCTCCTTGGCTGCTCAATTTTCTATCAGAGCATTTACCTTTTAAAAAATTCATTTATGAGCTCTGTCAAGAATAGCTCTTTGTCATGCACATTACAGTGTTTTCTCATTTTAGCATTTGCATTTTAATTTTATTTATTTTTGTTTTTAATTTGTTTTTTGATATGGATATACTGAAGGCTTTTTGTGTTTATGCAGGCAAAGCTGTGAATCATTTATAGTTCTTGTTAGCATAATGCATATAAAGATATTCCCCATGAAAGTATATAACATTCTAATAAATGTGTGGTTTTATTGGTTTTATCATGCACAATTTAAAATATATAATTGGTATCTAAAGGCACTGTTTAAATTAATCATGCAACTTTAATTCCATTCATCAGACTAATTGGGAATTGTCCATTCTTTTTTTTTTAAGTTGAAATATCATCAGTTATAATGTGTCAATTTCTGGTGTAAAGAATGTTTCAGACATATATATACATACATATATTCATTTTCATATTCTTTTTCATTACTGAATATAGTTCCCTGTGCCCATTCTTGAATGAATTCAGAATTACATGAAATAAGATAGTTGTTTGCCTTTCTTGGTTTATTTATTCATTTATTTAAAATTTTTTTTTGGTGGCAGCTTTATTGATGTATAACTTATTTATCATGCAGTTCACTCATTTAAGGAATACACTTAAGTGGCTTTCAGTATATTCACTGACTTGTGCAACTAACACCGCAGTCAATTTCAGAGCATTTTCATCACCCTGGAAAGAAATCCTGCACCACTTTGCCATCACCCGCAGCTCCTTCCTCAGCCCTTCACAACCACTAATCTACTTTCTGTCTATACAGAGTCACCTATTCTGGAAATTTCATGTAAATGAAATCATATGATATGTGATCCTTTGTGAATGGCCTCTTTCACTTAGTGTAATGTTTTCAAGGTTCATCCATGTTGTAGTGTGTACTGTAATTCAGTTCTTTGTTTACTAGATGAAAGAATAGCATAAATTAATTTCCTTTTTATTTCTGAATAATATTCCATTGTGTGATTATACCACATTTTATCCATCAATTTTTGGACATTAGAGTTATTTCTTTTTTTTTTTTTGGCTATTATGAATATTGCTGCTTTGAATACTCATGTATAAGTTTTTGTATGAACATG